GGGTTGGCCGTTGTACTGTCGGAGATGCTTTTAACGAGTGGGGGTTAAGCTGGACGCCTTTGTGTTCCACGGCTGACAGTTCGGTCCCACCGTGGATTTGGTAGATTGATTATACTCGATGCGCGGCCTGTCTGCCGCTGGGGCCAGGGTGTCACCTCTGCCTTCTCGCGGCAGCAAGGGAACTCTCAAGTGCCGTGGAATGATTAAAGGGTTTTTTAACTGGAAATACCAGAATATATTACATAATACAGTGTGGCACATCACCAGCCACCGCAACATTTACAAAGTTTGGAAATACATCTAGCCAGTGTTGTTGGCTACTTAATTCCAAACCAGCGCCAAAGGACCCTACACTATGAGCAACAGAGTTGCAGGAACGATTACACCATTCAACACTTGCATCATCAAAGCATTGAGTGACACCCGACCTTTGCATAGCTAAGATGCACACAGCCTTAACGAAAAGTCTAGCAAAGTATATATATAAAAAATGACAAGTTGGCGACAGTAAAGTCATATGAGTCCAAAATTATGCCAATATCGACGGAGGAGGTGGACCGATCCGGAGATTATGTTGTCATCCATGTTGGATAAAAACCTCTCTGACCACCCACTCCAACCGCATACACACCGCATTGAACAGCGATTGATACTCCGTTCGATGTAGCGTAGATCACTTACGAAGCCAGTGCGTACAACGGTAAATAACTCGCATAGAAGAAGAGGTTTTGCCATTAAAAACACAATTGTTTCTACATAGGCAAAGCGACCATAATAAGGCAGACACTCCCACCCGTATTAGCGTACTAAAAGTATTTGGTATTCCATCAAGCCAGTGACCATATATATTGGCAACACTTGTTGGCGGATACAAATTGGACGCTATTTGGATGACTTACCATATAGAATGCGCGAACTTGCACTGAAAGAAGAGGTGTTTAATTGTCTCGTCATGAGTACAAAAGCTACACTTCTTACTTCCTTGCCAGTTGCGTCGAGCGAGGTTGTCTTTTGTTAGCACAACTCCTCTCCGAAGATAACACATGAAATCCTATTTTTAGTGGCATCTTTGATTTCCATATTAGTTTATTATTATCCAATGGAACCTGTGAGTGCGAGAGTGCACGGTACATAGAGTCAACTGTGTAGGATCCAGATGTAGTGAGATTCCAGCGAAACACATCCCTCCCTTGTGTCAAGTTAACCGAATCCAAACGGGATAGAAGATGTTGCCATGACGCAAGGCGGAGGCCAATCAAATACCTCCTAAATGATACATTCGGCGGGATAGATGTTTCTTTACCGCCATCAGACCAGACAAAAAATGTGAGCCACCAGGTTTCCAATATGTCTGGGACAGCGTTTTTTGGCCTACATACTTTTTGCACAACAGGGTTTGCCAAACACCATCCTAGGTAATTAGCTTGAACAACCAATTACTGAGCAAGGCATCATTCTTAACCTGGAGGTCATGAACGCCTAAACCTCCCTGGTCTCTTGGTCGACAAACCACACTCCATTTGGTTATCCTATACTTTTTATTTTCACTGTCTCCTTGCCAAAAGAATCTGGATCTGAAATAATCCAGTCTTTGCAGAACCCCTTTGGGAATTGAAAAAATGAGAGCATGTAGAGAACCATGTTTGTGAGAACGGAATTGATCAAAACTAGTCGCCCTCCAACGGAGAGCAACTTGTCTTTCCAACTCCTCAATCGTTTCTCCAATCGCTTCTCAACATGTTTCCACTCCGCATTAGTGAGACAACGATAATGAATCGGAATTTCCAAATATTTAATCGGGAATTGGCCTTGTACACAACCGAACAAGTCAGCATATTGTGCAGCCGCCTCCTTGGCTTCTCCGAAACAGAACAATTCACTCTTATGGAAGTTAATTTTCAGACCTGACATTTTCTCAAAAGCTGAAAGCAATAGTTTCATATTTTTAGCCTTATCTAGGTCATGTTCTGTAACGCCCCGAGAGATGTGCCAGGTGTCCTCTAGTTATTCGCTGTTGTTGCCTTGTCTTTACTTGCGTGTCATGCATTGCATATCATGCCATCATGTGCATTTCATTTGCATACATATTCGTCTCATGCATCCGAGCATTTTCCCCGTTGTCCGTTGCATTCCGGCGCTCCTATCTCCTCCGGTGGTCCTTTCTACCTTCTTTTCGTGTGCGGGTGTTAAACATTTTCGGATTGGACCGAGACTTGTCATGCAGCCTTGGTTTACCACCGGTAGACCGCCTGTCAAGTTTCGTACCATTTGGACTTCGTTTGATACTCCAACGGTTAACCGAGGGACCGAAAAGGCCTCGTGTGTGTTGCAACCCAACACCCTTTCATTTTGGCCCAAAACCCACCTAAACCTCCTCCATAATCTCGGTCGTTCGATCACGATCGCGTGGCCGAAAACCGCACCTCATTTGGACACTCCTAGCTCCCCCTATGCCTATAAATAGATCCCTCCATTTCATTTCTGGGTCTTTTCCCCCTAACCCTAGTCTCCTCCCTTCTCCAGCCGCCGGACGTGTCCGACCGGGCCGGACACGTCCACCCCGTTTCCCTCCGCCAATCGCTGGCCGCCACGCGTCCCGGGTCGGCCCCCACATCGCCGCGCCGCCCGAGGCCCGCCGAGGCCCGCGTGAAG